GTGCACAGTCATTAACATCTTCAGATAATATTTTTAAACATAATTTGATATAATTTTCTCTAAAACGGTAAACAGTATTTTATCTATTGATCTGTTTCTTGGTCCATCACTTCATAAACAGTCAAGCTGTAGTGAGTATATTTAATATTGTCTATTATGCGTTGCCTTTATTTATTTCTCCAAATGACAGTGCAACTGGAAATGTACTTTATTTTTTAATTTGTATTATCTGAGCATTGCATCACATTTTCCAGATGCAGTTTAAATGAAAATCATCAAACATCTGAGCAAATCTCATTTAAAACACATCAGTGAGCAGATTTTAAACAGCAGTTAGGATGTGTTTCTAATGTGTGGATTGTGGAGTTTTGGATTGAGGACAAAGACTTTGGCTATTTGAGCCAGAAAGCCCAGAAAATGATGAATCCTTCTTTACGTTCTTAGATGCATTATCTGCAGCTGTCTACATGATCTAAGGTGTGAAGGCAGATTGTAGACATTTTTAGGTTGTTGTTGTTTTTTGGGGTTTTTTTTAATCGGAAAATAAATAAATCATTGCATCCTCAAAGCTGTTCAGTTCACAATTATCTTAAAATGTGATTTAATACAAGTATTAAATCATGATTTATGATTTTATGGGGACAAGTTACTGCAGCTTCACCCTGGATAGATGTTTAAAGGCTGACTTTCCTGAAAGGTCTGTGAAATTTCACAAATTGTGGCAGCTAAGCTGCAAAGGCAACAGCAGATTCCCAAATTCCTCTTTGATGGTATTAACTGCATGTGATTGTGTTGCGCGTTCATCCCGGGCTAATTTTGTGCTAAAGAGCTGTCTGGCCCGGGTCACATGTGGAGCCCTGCTGTCAGGCCTTTGTGCCACCCGAAGGTCCCCCTTCTGCTGCTGGTCCTCGGCCATCTGGAGCCTCCTTCCTCTGACCGCGGGACAGGACCAGGACGTGGAGGAGGAGGAGGAGGAGCAGGGCAAAAGGAGGACAGGTGATGTAAAATAGCTCTAATATTTAGAAGAATATCACACAGATTTCTACAGGATGATGGTCAGCAAAATGTTCTATTTGAAAACTCAATATATTAAAAAATATATATGTTAAAAATAGAAAAGAAGAATATGGCAAGAATAAGGTTAGAATATGCAAAAAGGATGAAATATTCTCAATGAAACTTTCTTATTTTAAAGATTTATGAGACACTGTAATTCAAAATGCAGCTACTAATATAAAAAAAAATACTCATTATCTTTATTATGTTGAACATATTTGCCCCTGAAACTGATAAAGGACTTAATGACATAATAATAATGATTATTAGAGACATTCATGCATGTTTGTGTCCTCCTTTATTCACAAAAGCAAAGTTCAGAACGCTTCTAATTCAGTTCTTTTTTCAATGAAATGCTTCCGTTTGTTCCTGCTTTAGTCGCCCTGTTGCAGATTAGCAGGAGCTGGGTCCTGCAGAGCAGTGCTCTTTGATAACAGCAGGGGCAGTGTTTGAACAGTACGACCTCTGCTGGCACGCAGGAGGACAGATGGCGGCTCTGAGGTCAGCCAGAGTCAGAGCTAAATAAAGGAATTCTGCAAATACAGAGCAGATTCTACAGTACGTGTAATACTGTACACATTTTAACATCAGAATGAGATGATGCACAGAACACATGACAACAAAAAACTATTGAGAATATAAAAGTTTGTAATGGGGCTGCAGGGTGGCTCTGTGGGTAGCACTGTTGCCTCGCAGCAAGAAGGTTGCTGGTTCGTCACCGGGATCTTTCTGCGTGGAGTCTCCATGTTCTCCCCATGCAGCGTGGGTTCTCTCCGGGTTCTCCGGCTTCCTCCCACAATCTAGAAACATGCTGAGGTTAATTGGTGATTGTAAATTGTCCGTAGGTGTGAATGTGAGTGTGCTTGGTTGTCTGTCTCTAAGTGTAGCCCTGTGATAGACTGGTTACCTGTCCAGGTGAACCTGCCTTCACCCTGAGTCAGCTGGGATAGACTCCGCCCCCCATGACCCTAGTGAGGATTAAGCGGTGTATAGATAATGGATGGAAGTTTGTAATGTAGTTCTATCCATGAAGGATGCTGTTTGTGATCACAACATAGGAACTGTTTAGTAATTGTGTTTTATATTTTGTTTGTCAGGTTTTAAATCTACAGGAACATTCTTCTGTGTTGTCTGTCGATCATCGTCCTGACTAAGATTCATCTCAGCTTTTTAAAGCATTGTTGCCTCTTTCAGCCACTGGATGGCAGCATTACTCTGACATGTCAATACAACCATAGACTTGCAGCTAAGTCCCAAATTATTCATCATACCCATATTAATATCCAGAAATTTTGATTTATAGTGATTTTCTTGAGGCCATCAGTTTTTCTCCTGCTTGGAAATTACATAACAAGAAATGGTCAGACATTAGTGATGCCCATGGAGACTTTTTTTTTCACCATTTTACTAAAAAACACAATGTCCACAATAAGAAGTGTTTCCAGTTTGTTGAGAAAATGCAGCTTCTATACAATTCCTGTTGATTTCTACCATGTTTTAGATTATTCTAATAAATCCAGAACAGCTGATGCAGCAGGTGTGTTTGTCAGGTTCTAGAAAATTGCAAGTTATGGTTAAAACCAAAGAGCTAAATGAGTTTTCTATTACAGTCCATTGCTAAGACAGAGCTGCACACTGTAGCTGCTCACAAGGCGGCTAAGATGCCATATCCAAGTGTTTTCAAGTGCAGGTGGTCACAGTGCAAAGCGTTATCAAAAAGTACAAGGAGTCCTTCACTGTGAGTATTCTCAAAGGCCACGGTAGGAAGCCAAAAGTCCCCCCTGTGCTGCCAAGAACGATAATGTTAGAGGTCAAGAAGATTCAATGATCAACGTCAAGATCATCCTCATAAATCTGACCAGTTCTTGCACCAACATCTTAAACAGACACTCCAGGAGGCACTGAACACCGTGGACAGTGACCCACGTCTTCAAAACAGACCTCACCTGAATAATGAGGAAAGCTTTTGGTCACCAGTTTCTTGGTGGAACATTCAAGCCCAAGAACACCATGCTTATGGTCAAATATGAAGGTTGGCACGTAATGCTTAGAGGGTGATTTTCAGCCTATCGGTCAGACAAACTGGACAAAACATCATCCAGTCTGCAGAAAGTCTTGGAGCTTCCAACAGCACTGACACATACAGCAAGAGTGCAGACAGGAGAACATGTTCTCAAAGCTGAAATAATGAGGATTTTAATTGAGTTTGTGTAATTTAAGTCTATCCCAGCTGACTGAGGGTGAAGGCAGGTTCACCTGGACAGGTAACCAGTCTATCACAGGGCTACACTTAGAGACAGACAACCAAGCACACTCACATTCACACCTACGGACAATTTACAATCACCAATTAACCTCAGCATGTTTCTGGACTGTGGGAGGAAGCCGGAGAACCCGGAGAGAACCCACGCTGCACGGGGAGAACATGGAGACTCCACGCATCCTGGGTGTCCTCACCGGGACGTGAACCGGCGACCTTCTTACTGCGAGGCAACAGTGCTACCAACTGTGCCACCTTGCAGCCCCTTAATGTAATCGTTTAATAATAAATAAGTTTAATATGAAGTAATTATTTATTCTTCATTGAAAAAGCATTTGAAGTTCATTTTGCTTCGAGCCATCTTGAACTGATTTTCCTCGAGTGTTCTTTTAAACTTCCCCCCTTTTTGAATTGTGAAGTTGTAGAGTTCATTTAATTTTATATTTTGCTCACAAAGCTTCACAGGTTCTCCAGTTGCTCAGTTTTCCTATGAAGTCTGATAATGTTGTAGAGATCACAGACTCAAAAAGCCAAGTGAACACACATTATGACTTTTCTGTCCTTATGAACACCAAACAGCATTATAAATACCAGCTGAGCTCCCACGTCCACACATCCAGTGTTTACTGTCTGGTAACATTCTGATATTCATCTCCAAACCTGTTTGGATAGTTGTTAACTTATATCATCATAAAGATGCTGTATTTGAAGCAAGAGTCTAACATTTCTGCATGTGATGCAATAAAAGAGTTCATATTATTCTCATTGTGTGCAAAAAATTCTAATGTGTAAATAAACACTGTGTTTGTACTTTATGAGTATTTAGTATTTTATTAGTGTACATGTGTAGATTTAAGTTTAGCAGTGGATTTAGTTAAAGCTCTTGTACAGACTATTACAGATGCTAAGGATGAAACTTATTTTGAAAAACTCTAGAAACAAGTTGTACAAACTGCTGAACAAAGTAGGACTGAAACTGAATCTACAGCTAAATGTAAGAAAGCTGAGGCTGAATTCAGTGTGAACAAGGACACTTCTACCACAAGTGTCTTGTCCTTACTTATCTTATGTCATTTTAATTGTAATTATCTTATAAGCTTCATCAACAATAAAAAGCAGAACTTTAGCCATTGTTCCAGAATCAAGTGATGGTTTCATAAAAAACCTTTTTATGAAACTTAAAGTAATCCAGGATAAGACACTCTATTTAAGAGCAATGAATACTTCAATTTAACATTTATAGAATTTGAATATCAATATCATGTACACTTAAGTAAACTAATTTCGATTAATTCAATCATAACAGAGTAAAACTTTCTTATTTCATTCTTATAAACTAAACGTGAAATGGGCGTTTCTTTCTTCTTCATCATGATCATTATGATTCATACAAACTTGTAATGTTTGTTGCTCTCACTTTAACTGCACCACAGCTGTTACAAAAGAAGATAAATATTAATGAGAAAATAAGAAAGTTCTTTTACTTTTTTAAAATCTCCCCTTCCCATCTAGCTCCTCCTTTTAGACAAATAATATTTTTTAAACTGCTGGTTAGCTACTCAGACACTTTCACATACACTTCTCACAAAAAACAAGTATTTGTAATTTTTTCTTCTTTTTTTTTCTCGATTCTCCTCCACGTGACTCTCATGTGAACAGCAAACAAAATAACAAACAAATCTGAATGCTGAAACTATTTATCCTGCAGGATTAAAAAATAAAATAAAATAAAATTAGTACAAATAAAATAAATATAGTAAAAATAGTGTCAACTCAGTGTGACCAGTAATCTCAGTCTGGCTTTAAAATCAATCTCCTTTTTTTTCTTTTCTAATTTTGCAGCACATATCTGAACACCATCAGCTCCTATGAACCGCCTCGACCTGCTGCATGCGGACAACCTGGTTTGGTGCAAAACAGGAAGCCTACAAGGCAGATAAATATCCCTGCAGCTCGACATTGCAAAACCTTTTTTTCTCCAACTACTGCAATATTTTGTGGGTTTGCACCTGAAACAATTCCTCCTCGTCGCCCGTTTCAGCCGCTCGAGGAGGACGGTGCCAAACCAGGAAGTGCGCGGCGGCGGCGCAGCGCGTGGCTCCACCTCGACGCCCTCCGACGTTAAACTGACTCGTCGCTCCACATTTCGGTCACTGCATCATCAGCGCTGACGTGGAAACTACGTGAGCGCGGGCACACGGCGTCCACCCACACTGTCACCGGTGACGAGTCACACCACGTAAAAAGTTCGGTAAGTCGCTGCCACATTTTCACTCGCGTCGGGAGCAGCGGGAGGACGGTGCTGCACGCGCACGGTCCGCTGCCAAACTTTGCCACGAACGCTTTGTCGGTGTTATTTTATTTTTTCTTTTTTTTCTGAGCCGATCAGCCCAGAAACGTGGAGTGAAACAAACAGTCTCTCGGTGCGCTCAGCTGGCTGCGGTTCCTCTCTGAGCGCGCCGAGCTGCGTCAAGTCACACGGAGGCACACGGACACGAGGAGCGCGTCTCTTCAGTATAAAACAGATCCGATCAGGAACTGGCTCTGAGAACATGAGAATAAATGCAGCGCCTTCAAACAGAGCAGTGACATATAATAATTACAGTAGACTAAACTTTATTGTCATTGCACAGAGTACAAAACAACAACAAGCAGTTTGGTGTAAAGGAGTAAAAAGTGCAATGCAATGTCAAATGTGCCGAAAAGCTTTCAGAACAATATGCAAAATGAACAGTATTAACAGTACAGACAATACATGGAAGTATGCAATACTTATATGGTATATGCAGTATAAGGAGAATTGTATGAACAAGCACATAAATAAATAACTTCTAAAAACACATTTTTATTAGAGAGCTTTTCCTGATTTTATTTAAGTTTTTTAGCTTCTTGCTCTGTTTGTGTGCGTTCTGCTTTTATCACTTATTCTGTGCTTATTTTATTTCAATTTTTAATTAATTTTTTTTGCAAAGCACTTTGTAGCATTTGTTTTGAAAAGTGCTCTTTAAGTTTATTATTATTATTATTATGAGTTATGAATAGAATAAGATGTAGCTAATACAAGTGTGCTATATAAATGAGAATGTAAAGAAAGATCTATGGGAATATAAAAATAGGGATAAATGACAGTATGAAGTGTATAACCACTGGATATAAGTAGTGAAAGGTTCAGCAAGGTGACAGGATGTAACTAATATATAAATGAAAGGACAATAGCTCCTAGACATTAGTTTTAAAAAATACAGTCACCAAAAATAAAAATAAAACAGAAAAAATAGTGATAATGATACTCAGGTAATAAAGTTAAATGGCACATGCTTATTAAATATTGCACATAAAAGTGAAATTCTGCACACAATACTGAGCCTGATATCGAACACACTCCTGAGAAAATGACAAATGATATTGATGTCAGCCGCTATGTTGTTATATTGTGTTGATTTTCAGCAAATTCATCAAAGTCTCACGTGTGTGTCTTAAAGGTTTTCTGCTCAATATGCAAAAAGGTGGTTCTGTTGGTTTTAGGGCCGTTCTAAATGTTCTAAATGTTCTGATTTGCTCCGAGAACCAATGAGCTGCTGCTGTTCCCGCCCCCTTCAGGAAGAACGCGCAGTCTGCATCTGTGATTGGCAGCCGGAGCTGTCAATCACAGCTTGAGCTGGACGACTATTGGTTAGTTAGGTGTTCATAGCAAATGGGTTAAAATCTGATCCACTCTTAACACTAGTAGGCTAAGTAGTTGTGCGAGGTTTTTAGGGATGGTAGAAGTAAACGTTTTCTTATGTTAACAGCTTTTATTTTGCACCTCCAAGTTTTTAATAACCACAAAACACAACAAAATGGATTTCTGCAGGTGTTGAAGGATCTTTATCCATTATCAGCTACTTCTACAGTCAGAAGAATCTAAAACTGCTGTGTGAAATAAGGAATCAAGACTTTTGCTCGAAATTCTGTTTAAATGTTGAATTTCTTTATTTCTGTATTGTGTTAATAAGCTGCATGGTTGAAGCTAAGTGTCAGAATGAAGCTTATTTGGAAGCACAGCTTTGACGTCGATTTTTGTCGACTATTTAAATTTTTGTGCAATTTGTTCAACTTTATTCTCACAGAATTTCACTTGAAAGCATCGACCATATATAAACATACACGTATATACACAGTCTGTGCTTGAGAGATATAAATAAAGAAATGAATATTGTGTTAATGAGTAGGAGTTCACAGTTTAAAGACAAATTTAAATAGCTTTGCAGTAATTCTAAAAATCTGGGTTGTGGGAATTTCCACTTGATTTGTTTATTTGCAGCAGGAGAACACTTTTAAATATGATGTTTCAGATAGAAAACAGTGTGAACTTGGTTTCAGGCAAATCTTTATCAAACAGGATGTTAAAATAGTCTAAATATTTGAATCAAAATGTGCTTTGTGGGCATGACAGTGATGCTGCCTGACTCTGACATTAGGCATCTCTGGTTTGAACCAGTGCCTGACCTGTCCATTTTAAAAATCCTTTTTTTTAAAACTCAGATTTCTACTTTTCTCTGATGTTATTTTGCCCCTCAGATCAGAATCTAATTAAATCACATCGGAGTTGTAAAAGTCTCTGTCCTGGAGTGTGAAAACACGCCTGGAGTTCAGTCTGCCAGCTCCGCCCGGTGGCTGTCGCACATAATGAGCACCAGAAGACAAAGTTATATAATACAAATTTGTCACAAGCTCAATAAACAGTCAGCCTCAACAGAGATCTTAAGACAAATCACTCCGACTCGCGCACACAAACTGCCAGATGAATCAAAACACTGGAGTCTGCAGCACAAAGAAGAAAACAAGCAGAACGTAATGAGAGTTTTGTCCAGTGTCCCTTTAGAAATGCACAATCATCTTCTCGCATTATTCACATCTTCTGTCGGATTGAAATGTGACACTATTTGTTCAACTCGCCATGTCATTATTCTGCACTTCACTGCAGTGGAATTAATGTTGTTATTTCGGCTTCTTTGCACGCTGTCGTCTGCTGCTGTCTCTGCTGTCATACTTGAACCGAATTGTACCGAATCACAATAATCCAGTTTCAAAAGATTGTATGTGTGAGTGGAGATGCTGCTCTTTAAAACCAAATAATAACTTTCAGGTAATGAAAAGTCCAAGTTTGCTGGTAAAAGACGGATAACGTGTATGGTGAGAAAAGGCTGCTTATCAGAGGTTTGTCCGTGACCCAGTATCCTGCTCCATACAAACCCAGGATCTCATGAACCCTGGGGAAAGCTTAACACAGGCGCTTGTTTGTGATCTCTGATAGTAATGCAGGAGAGGAAGACATTAGGATGACTTTTGTGGGCCTCAGTGGTTGTGTTAATAATTTGCTTGCCTGGCTGTTCAGGTAGCTGACTATGGAGACCTCACTATCGCCTCAGCTGGACAGCAGTTTGAACGAGTCGCTGACGGATGGAGAAGAGAACCAAAGTGAAACCAGTCTGTCTTCTTCAGACCTTAATCAGGTATTCACACACCTTGTACTTGAGTTTTAGCAGTTACAGCAATAGTTTCACTTCAAAACCTTGCAATTTACAACCAAGTGGTCAGCATGGAGGTTTGGCTGATGTGTTTCCTCCTGCTTTACCTGGTGCATTATGTTATCTTGTGTTTTGTTTTTTTGTTGTTGTAATTTTCATATGCACAGTTTGATATAAATGTCTCGGTTGATGCCTGCAGGTGTCGGTTACTGCAGAGTGTTCTGGTGTGACTGTTGTCCAGCTGTCCGACGGTCAGACAGTGCAGGTTCAAGGAGTCATCCAGGCCCCTCAGACGTCTGTTATACAGCCGCCACAAGTGCAGACTGTCCAGGTGAGGACGCATGCTGAGAGAACACTGAGAACAGGTTGGCTAGAATGTGTGATGCTCATCAAATTCAGAGTGTAGGTTATGTAAAAATATCTGCATCAGATGAGTAACGGGGTCAAGTCGACAACTAAGTCTTGATTCTGTCAGTCTATGCCAAGTCCACCAGTTTGTCAGAGCAAACCTGCAGGTTGGGTCTCAAACCAAATCTGACAGAGAAGGATTTAAGTCAAGTCTAAAGTCATTTAAGAGAAGTTCAGGTTACCTTTTTAAATCACCGGAGAGAGGCCCAGCTTCTTCAACACAAGTCCATGTCGACTCTGTCAGAAGCCGTCTGAAGTCAAACCTCATGTCATAGAGAGAATTTAAGAAGTCTTCACTGTGTCAGACTCTGTCATTCAAGACAAGCCACGAGTTTCACCTCATGTCATTCAAGAAGTCCCGATTTGATCAAAGCAAGTCTCAAGCAAAGGTCCAAGTGAAATGTCAACTCCCCAAGTCCAGAAAATGTTCACAGAGCAGCAGAACCTGTCCACGGTGTGTTTTGGTAATAGATTTGCATATTGCTCTGTGAGTGAATGAACATGGAGCTGCTACGCGTAGGAGACGCTCTGCAGGGTTTGTGGTTCGCATGCAGTGCATCTGTTAATAGGATTGATGTGAGCAGCAGGAGCCGAGGTTTAAGCTCATCAGTCTAACCTTCACATTCAGGAGGCGTTGTTGTGTCTGGGCAGGTCGCCGTATCGCTCAACACTGATCCGCGAGGCGAAGCTGTGCAATTCTCACCACAAGTAATCTGATTACTTTATTAGACATTGTGGTGTAGACGTCACATCTGCGCTGTTTGACTTATTTCAGCTCTTAAGTAAAAGTCATTTTCTCACATGTGCTGCTTTCTTTGCAAAGCGGATGCTACTTTCTCGTCTCCTGAAAATTACTGTGACGAAGAGAACAAAAATGAGATCAAATCTGTGAGCTGCACGGTGAGACGACGCATTTGTACACCGCACGGTGGTTTTGTCGCCTAATTTCACAGCATCTTGTATCAGTAAATCTATCACGTAAAAGTCTGAGTCCTGGTATTGACTGAACTTTCACAAGTAATAATTGAAATAAATCACTGATTCTCACAGTACAGCTCTGGTTGAGCAGCTTTAACAAAGTGTAATATTTCCTTCCAAATCATTGTCGTATAGTTGAACTAACAGCTATTATCTCACATGCACTACCTTATTGCAAAGCAGACGGTACTTTGCGATCTTCTGAAAAGTGCGATTGAGACTGAAAAAGAGATTAAATTGCAATTTAATCCACTTCAATGCAATTTTATGTATCTAGTGTGAATTCACAACACGTCATCTCACAGCATGACACCATCTGTGAGCTGCACAGTGAAACGGTGCTCATGTGCACCGCAAAGTGGTTTTGTTGCCTGGTTTCAAAGCACTTTGCGCTTTTTATCAGTGAGTCTATCAATAACAAGTCCTGGTATTGACTGAACTTTTGCAGTAATAATTGCGCCGTCACTGAAGTGAATTTCCTGCATCACCAATTCTTACAGCACAACTCTGCTTCAGAGATGGTAATACAAGTTTTACACTTACCTCTGGTAACACGTGGAACCAGATGCATGACATGCTCTAGACTCAACTCTGAATCTGTGTACAAAGCAGCATTATTTCTTGCTTTCAGAACGTAAACCTGACAAGTGCAGGCCTGACCTCAACCCCAATACCACTAAATGGATACAGACACGCCTCTGTTTAACCTGCTGCCTTTGTCTGCTGCAGATATTATCCTCTAATAGGGCCAAAGCAGCCTTTGTGTTGCTAGCATACAGCCTTTATGCAGCAATGTGAGTCACAAAGCCTCCTGACTGATGACGCAGAACCGGGTCAACTTCATATGTGTTATTATTCCAACAATATGATTTGAGTGACAAAATATAAACAGATTTATTTATGCTACAGTGAAATGATGCTCGGAGAGAGGAGGGCGGTGACATTCACAAATAATTATGCAGTGTGTTGAAGTGTGTCTGTGGAGAAATGCGAGGGGTTGAAAAGATTAAGCTTGAAATAAAATGTCCTTCTATGACGTTGTCTTGTCTTGACAAACGCCACTAAAAGTCTGCGAATGACAACAAACGCCCCCTCAGCAATGATGTTAAGATGTTGCCAACATTTTAGAAAAGCAATATTGCAGATTACTCATCACTTTATTAAAACGCAGGCTGTTTTGTGCAGATTGCTACCGTGGCAGAGCTGGAGGATGACGAGACAGTTGCAGACGTGCAGAAGAGACGGGAGATTCTCACCAGGCGTCCGTCTTATCGGTGAGAGGACGTCGACAGCAAACAGGAAGATGGTGTGTAAAGTGCCAAGTCCATGTAAAGTCACTTTTGTGGAATTCTGTTGTCCGGCAGAAAAATTCTTAACGAGCTTTCGTCGGATTCGCCGGCAGTTCCTAAAATCGACGAGGAAAAGATGGAAGATGAGACGCTGCCCCTCTCCAGCAGCCCATCGACGTCTGTGCCAACGTCCATCTACCAGACCAGCTCTGGACAGTACAGTCAGTACACACAGCAGCAGCTCGCCCACTGTGGAGTTTATTCTGCTCCAGAACATACAGTTAGGAAGTTTGCTCACTTCTTACACGTCCAGTCAATGTTTCATTGCTTCAAGAGAGTACAAAGATGTTCTTTTCTTCCTGCAGCCTTTATGTGTTCAATAAAGCAGCACAGTTGGCTCCAGAATAACTTGAGCTCTATGTAAGAATTTGAGAAGATGCTCGGCAGAAGCTGGAAGAAAACTCAAAGAGATTTTACTATCAGGAAGCCAAAACTGCAGCATAGTTCTCAGCATTCAGTGATTGAATGTTACTGTAGCTGCAGCGATCACTGACTTTAAGTTTTACCTTCTAAAGCCTGAAAACTAACATAACTTTCCGCTACAGCCGAGTCACAGCTATACTTTGACCCTGTACAGTTGCGATCGGCCAGGGCAGAGCCATCCAGCTGACCAATCCCGGAGTTGAAGCCCTTCAAGGGGCCCAGACCCTGACGGTGACCAGCTCTGCAGCCCCACAGCCCGGAGCCACCATCCTGCAGTGTGCAGCTCAGTCGGGAGACTCCCCACAGCAGTTCTACATCCAGGGAGGACAGATGCTCATCCAAGGTCAGGTGCAGCTTATTTTGAATCTCAAATGGCATGGAAAGCATTTTAAAGTTGTAAACAAAGCTTACATGCACCTCTGAAGAACATGTATGTCATGGCAGGCTTAAGTTTCCTCAGACTTCTATAACTCTTAATTTTCTATGATTAGGCAGGTACATGTTTGTCACAAATGACAATCATGCATTTTAATTCTTTTATAGATTTACTACAAATCCTCTGTAAATATGAAAAAGTGTGCTGGGTCAAAAATATAGATACAGCACCTTAAATATTGGTTTTGTTGATGTACAGAATTGTATATTTTCTATTGGCATGACCTTCTTGTGAGTGATTAGGACTGACTAC